TCAACTCCTTGATTTGTCTCTCTTCTGTCTTCTTGTTGGTGTATAGGAATGCCACTGATTTCTGTGCATTGATTTTATATCCTGCCACTTGACTGAATTCCTGTATGAGTTCTAGCAGTAAAACCCCAACTTCTTTCTATTGAAACTTATAAAACTTGTCTTAGTACTCAGAAAGGCTAAATGTATGCTACTTTTCATTAGTTCAATGTGCCTCAAATCTCCATTTCTACTATCTGAGAACCTTGAGACTATAGTATTTTATTATATAAAATTCTTTGGACGTACATTATATTTTATGGTTTATTTATTTTTACAGAATTTTTAGTGTGGAAAAATTTAAACACATACAATCTATTATCACTCAGTGTCAACAATTATCAACTCGTTAGTCAAATTTGTCTCATCTGTACTGTTATCCATGACCATTGGGTAAGAGTGAGCAAATCCCCAGACATCATACCATTTGACCTGTTAGTATTTCAGTATATATCTCTAAAATTAAAAAGACTCTTTTAAAAAGAATAACAAGGGGTGCTTGGGTGGCTCAGTCAGTTGAGTGTCTGACTTGATTTCAGCTCAGGTCATGATCTCGGGGTCATGGAGTTGGGCCCCCATCAGACTCTTCGCTCAGCGATGAGTCTTCTTCTTTTCTTCTCTGTCTCCCTTTGCCACTCTCCCCTCTCTTTCTCTCTCTAAAATAAATGGATAAATCTTTTAAAAAATAATAAATAAAAATTAAAAAGCATAACTATATTATAATCATATCTAAAAACTTCAACCATATTTCCTTAATAGTATCAACTAACTAATCAATATCAAAATATTTTTGTTTTATAATTTTTACATTTAGTTTATTCAAATCAAAACCAAATATAATCTACATATTGCATTTGATTAATATGTTTCTTATATCTCTTTATCCATAGTTCTCCTTCTTTTTCTTGTAATTTGTTAAAGTCCTTTAAAGTTTTTCAAATTTCAGTTTTGTTGATTGCATCCCCATGCAGTTGTTTAATATATTTCTCCATTAGCTGAATTTCCTGTAACCTGATAGATAGGTCTAGAGATTTAATGATATCATTTTTATTTTTTGGCAAGAATACTTCATAGGAATGCTGTATATTTCCATCAGGAGGCCAAAATGTCTGCTTGTTTCTCTGTGATGTTAACATTGTTCAGTGTGTTCAGTTGTTGCCAGCCTGATTCTTGCATTATAAAGTTTCCCATCTGCTATTAACATGAAGTGTTTAGTAGCCATTGATGATCATAAACAAGGACTTATTATTTCATTAGATGTTACAAAATGGTATACTCTAATACTTTTATTTCTTTATTTATTAGGTTTTATTTAAAAAGGTTTGTTTTGCTAAATTAAATTAAATAGAAGGGGCATCTATGATGTGCTGGTACTCTGCTAGATGGTGTAAGAGGAAGACAGAATACATATGATGGACCCTCCTGTAAATAAAAATTAAACATTATGCTCAAAATGATTAGAGAATAACTATGGTATGGTAAGTGAAATAAGAAAAGAGAAATGATCATGGATTGAAGAATGTTTCATGAAAGAAGTGGGACATATACTGGTCCAAAGAGCCTTCTATGAAATAGGGGGAAATGGAGAGTGTTGCAGGTGGGAGAACAGTTTGGACCAAACCATGAGGCTAAGAACAAGAATGGCCACATACAGAAAGGCACATGAAAAAAAATCTATGTAGAGATTATATGTTAGTTAAGTTAAAATGGGGGCATTGATTGTGAGTAAGAAAACTAAGTTACTTAGGTCCTATTGGAATAAATTGGCATCACCCCATGAACTCTGGCATTTTTCTCAATACATTTAGCAGATAGACTTTGGGTGAACTAGGAAACTACAGCGAAGTGGCCTAGGGAAATGCAGTACTTTAGAAATTGATTTGTCATAAGTAAAACTCATCTGATCTTAAGAAATATAAGATTGCCCAAGTCAGATGTAAAGTGTAAAGAATTAGTCGTTTTGATAGGTGCATGCAGTAATAAAAATGCAAACTACAGAGATACTTGTGGTTCCACAGAATGAACCAGGATGTTTGAAAAAAGAGGCAGGTGCACAGGGCTTGTGAAGCTGTGGCAAAGTTAAAAATGTTGAGTTTAATTTTGAAAACATTGTATTTTGTGTACACATACAAATAGTAAAGACCTTAAGCATCTGATAGGATAGAATTGCAGACAAAAAGACAAAGCTGATATTGTACATTTTAGTCATGCACACAGAAGTGATAAGTTAACTCATAGGAGACAGACATAACAAGCATAGAGAGGCTGAGTTCATAGAAAAAGGATAGCAATAGAAGCACCTGGGTGACTCAGTCGGTTAAGCGTTGGACTCATGATTTCAGCTCAGGTCATGATCTCAGGGTCATGAGATTGAGCCCCACGTCAAGCTCCAAGCTCAGCATGGAATCTGCTTGAGATTCTCTCCCTCTTCCCCTCCCCCCCCCCCCCCCCTTTGGTTTCTTCAAAAAAAAAAAAAAAAGATAGCAGTAGAGTTGAGGGTGGAGTGTGGACAGAACAGGAAAAGAAGAGAGTAGTATCCATTGGTGGAGAAGCAGAGAGAACAATGTTGTGCACCAGGAAGGAAAGAGCTTTAATCAGAAAGAGATGGTCAACAGGGTCAACATGATGTACCACCATCGCTAGCAACACTTGACAGGACACTTGATTATAATACAGTATGTTACAGATGGAAGATGGTTTACAGGAAGGAATGGTTTAGGAGTAGGAGATCAGGATGGAAGGCATGTGATCTTATTCTAGGAATGGGCTTCCAAAAAGGAAAGTAAATATAGTGGCCAAGACAAGCAGCCCATGGGGAAACCTAGGTGTGTCTGAAAACCAAGAGTCTGAATTTCCTTGGTTTTTTTTTTTAAGATTTATTTATTTTAGAGAGAGAGAGAGAGAGAGAGAGAGAGAGCACATGTGAGTAGGGGGAGGGGCATGGGGTGGGGGAGAAAAACAGACTCCCTGCTGAGCATGGAGCCCCACTCAGGGCTGCATCTCTCAACCCTGAGACCATGACCTGAGCTGAAATCAAGAGTAGGGCACTTAACCAACTAAGCCACCCAGGTGCCCCTCCTTAGTTATTTTGATAACTAGGAGAAAGTATATTTTTAGAAAACAAACTTTTAATAAGACTGATGAATCACAGACCTGTACCTCTGAAACAAATAATACATTATATGTTAAAAAAAAAGAAGAAGAAAGTAGCAAGGGAAAAATGAAGGGAGGGAATTCGGAGGGGGAGATGAACCGTGAGAGACTAGGGACTCTGAGAAACAAACTGAGAGTTCTAGAGGGGAGGGGGGTGGGGGGATGGGTTAGCCTGGTGATGGGTATTAAAGAGGGCATGTATTAAATGGAGCCCTGGGTGTCATACACAAACAATGAATCATGGAACACTACATCAAAAATTAATGATGTAATGTATGGTGATTAACATACATAATAAAAAAAAGGAGAACCTTTAAAAAATAATAAATAAATAAATAAACACTGAAATACAGAAAAAAAAAGAAAGTGCAAAAAGAGCTTAACTATTTAGTCACTTTAATTCATTATATTTTAGGACATTTTATTTATTCTATTCTCATTTTATGTATTACTATAATGAGTCATGCTTATATCAAACATGTAAGATACAAGGTATTAAATTGAAAATGCTAGTTTACCATAATGAGTCATGCTTATATCAAACATAAGATATGAGGTATTAAATTGGAAATGCTAGTTCCTTCCTTTCCTGAAAAGAATTCTGCACACTTCTCCACCTTCCTTCTTTCTGCTTTCTTAGTTTTCTTAGTGTATGTGGAACATGTAAATGTTTGTTTCTATTTTGTTAGTTTCATTGATTTGCTGCCTCCAAAGATAACACATATTTATTGTAAAAATGTCACTCAGCACAGAAAGGCTTAAAGAATAAATTTTTTTAATTTCATGAAATGATGTTATTCAGAGATAACCAGTATTATTATTTTGGTAAAACTCCTTCTAAGCCTTTTTCTATGTATAGATACATAGATGATATTTTATGTTAAGGAGACCATACTATTAATGTAGTTTTGCACCTGCTTTTTTGCATCTAATAATATGTTGTGGACATTTTTTATGTCAATGAATATAGGTATAGACCATTCTTTTTCAATGGCAGTCATTGTATGAACGTACCATAATTAATTTAAGCTACCTTGTTGCCAGACATTTAGACTCTTTCTAACTTTTCTGTTTAAGCAGCACTACAGTGAACACTCCTATGGATACATTTTTGCGCACTTATCCAATTGATTGTCTTCTTTGAATTACTTCCCAAAAATACAGTTGTGGGTCAAAGGCTATGCATATTTTATATTGTGATACATATTTATTTACATATTGTCCAGTGTCCTTTAGAAGTGCAGTACCAATTATGCTTCTACCAATAATACTGATCAGTATCCAGAAAGTTCTTTTAAATGTCTTAAATTTTATTTTTCATCTTCATTCAGGCTCATTTTCCTCACTTATAAAATAAGAAGGATGAAATCTATCAGTGGTTCTTAAACTTTTTAGGATCTTAGGATCATTTGAGAATTTTTGAAAACTGTTGACCAGAAACTGGAACAGTTGTTTCAGAAAAACACACCTGTGCAAAATCAGAGAAATTTTTACATACTATTTATGAGAATTCATAGATTCTTTGAAGTCAGTTCACAGACTCTAGGATCTCAGTCCATGAATCTAAGTGAAGAATCCCTGAATGAGATGATTTTAAAGTTGCTTTCTCTTTTTAACACTAACACACACACACACACACACACACCTTACATTACACATCACGCACATGTCACACACTCATGTGCACACAGAATTTTAATGTGTATTTGGAAAAACTTTGGCACCTGCTTGATATAGAACCTAGTCTTATTGTGGTCTATAAAATTACTTGACTGGGTATAGTTATTGGAATGAATTTCCATTTATTTCAGGTTCTTCAATGGCGAGCCCACCAGGAAGAGGTAGCAAGACTGGAAATGGAAATTTCTGCCAGGAGAAGAGAAAAGGAGAAGGAGAAAGAGAAACTATGGAAGGAGAAAGAATTGTTACAAAGAGCAGAGAAGAAAAAGAAAGTATGAAATCTGCTATTACTGTGAATGTGTGAATGAATGCTTAGTTGTCTGGTTGAGTTTTGATAGATCTTGGTGCTTGCCATGGAATCATCATAGGCAGTTCTTAGAAAGATTCGTAAGGTTCTAGTGGAGTCTTGCTTGAATTCATTTAAGCTTCAAAGATTGGACGTGGAGGAGAATCCACTTTATTGACCTGCATGAGCACAGGTACTTGTGATTAGAAGGAATGCTATAGGGAAAGGAAAGTTAGGGTTTATGACTTGTTAAGTCTTGTTCTAAGTAGGAACATGCAAGGACAAGAGATACCAGGGTAACATTTTGGTTGACTACAGTGTAGCAACTGACTGTCAAAAGAGGTCTTTGCTGGTAAAAGACATTGTACCGAAGTCAGAGCAACTCATGCAATACCAGAAGGCCCCTTAAAGAATTTACTTCTTGGCTTATTATTTGTTAGATTGTTTTTCATTTGCGGACACAAATTCATTGCTCTACTTTTGAGCAAACATTTGCTTCCCAGTTTTCAAAAAATTAATCACAACACTTATTAACAGCTTCAAAATGATTGCTGATATTCTGTGGAAGGAAAAAAGTGAAATTGAGATGGGATTTTAAAAATATATCTGGCATCTTTATTTAGATACTTTTGTTTATTTTATCAGTTTTTGTGGTATAAACAAACACATTAGTACTCATCACCTAGCAATGAAACTGTTAATGTTTTTTGTTCTTTTACAGATTTATTTTATTTTACACATAAAGTTGAAGCCCTCTATTGAGGATGTACTCAGTACCATTTTCCTTCTTACCTCCTCAAAGTCAGTCTTGATCATAAATTTTACTCCTATCTTTACAGGCCATCAGTTGCTTTTAACATCTTTTTTTTTTTAAGATTTTATTTATTGACTTGACAGAGCGAGAGAACGCAAGCAGGGGGAGTGACCGAGGGAGAGGGAGAAGCAGGCTCCCCGCTGAGCAGGAAGCCTGACGTGGGGCTCCATCCCAGGACCCTGAGAGCACAAGCCGGGGAGAGAGGCAGAGAGTGAGGGAGAAACAGACTCACTGCTGAGCAGGGAGTCCATCAAGGGACTTGATCCAAGGACCCCAGGATCATGACCTGAGCCAAAGGCAGATGCTTAACCGACTGAGCCACCCAGGCACTTTGCTTTTAACATCTTTTAATAGGTAGTTCGTGACTTTTAAATTTTTCATGAATACTTTCAGACTATCATTCTGCAGCATGTACTTCAGCATTTAACCTTAAACTTCTGAGCTACAGCTATATTAATAAACAGACGGAGTTTGCCCCTTTTCACTGCTCTGTACTGTCTCATTGGAGGCTGGCATTCATCCCTTCTCTTAGTGGTGGATATTTACGTTTCTGAAGTTTTGTTCTTGTAACTGTTGGCGCAGCCACCTTGTACAGTCGACTGGGGCGTGTGTGCCCACCTCTCTCCACAGTACACCAAGGAGGAGAATTACAGCGTGGTAGAATTTGTATGCTTTCAATTTTATAAGGTTGTTTTTCTTTTTTTAGTTTATGTTATAAATCTTCTTTTTGACTTTTGCCAATCTGATGAATGTGAACAGTATCTCAGTGTTTTAAATTGGATTCTCCTGATCACTTATGAGATGGAAAAATCCCCTCATGTTTATTTGGGCCATTTTCTTCCTCTGTGAATTGCTTAATAGTACTTTTGTTTGTCTATTTTTCTTTATTAATCTGTAAAAGTTTGTTTTTTTATAAATTCTGGATATATTTCTTTTTGTCAGTTATGTTTTCTTTCATTGGTCATCTGCCTTTAAATTTGGTCTGTTGGTGTCTATGGTTTCATGGAAATTTAAAATGATCAAGTAATGAAAGTTATTAAACTCTTTTCCTTTCTGAACTGTGCTTTCCTTTATGAACCATGACCTGATAGTGAGAGCATCTTTACAGACAGTTTTTGTTCGCTTCTGCTTAGGGCCCTATACGTTTTACTGGCCCAGGACCAGTGTGTGTATTGACTGTGAGATTTGGGACCTGTTCTGTGAGCTTGCAGAGGGTGCTGACTTGGCGGTCATGCACAGCACCCGCCTGGGTTCTGCTGGTGACCCCTTTCCTCCTCTGGTCCCAAGCAGAAAGTTATCTCCCTTATCACTTTTCTGGGGAGTGGTCCTGGTGTGTCTCGTTCCCATTTTGTGTATGGACAAGTCCTATAGGACTTCTTACTCTTTTTAAATGGCATGATTCCAGCTCCCATATACACAAGTCTCACAGCTAATCTTAAAGACCCAACCACCAGCTCCTCAGGCCTGCCTCAGGCCCAGTTCTGTCCAAGAGCCCTTTAGCTTTGGCTCCATTTTACTGCTCTGACTTTGAGTTCCATCTTTATCTTCAACACGGGGACATTGTGTGTGTTTGTGTGCTGTTGTGTTATAGTTTGTCCAAAATTTCTATGTGTTTAAAGTAGGAAAGGAGATTTCTATGTCAACTCAGACAAACTGATCAAAGTTCTGGCTACCTTTATATATATTCTATGAATCCAGACTCTCTTTGTTCTAACTATTTTCTATGCTGGAGACAGATATTAGTTCTTTAGTGTTTAACAGCAGTTTCACAAAACCCTCCTATAGTTACTCAGGTCAGAAGCTCCCTCTGACTTGAGACTGATTGCTTTGTTAGCTGGTGCTCTGTTTTTCCTCATCTACTGTTTCACCTGCCTGGATTTCTCTTCTCATAAGCTAGCAGCCATAGAGATAGAGAAACTATTCCATGTATAAAACCCCACCTGAGGATTTTGGAATAACAGATCGTCTTTCTCCTAATTCTTCTTCTCAGCAGTTTGTCTTTTAGGGAATGACACTGTCTTTTTGCTGGAATAACATTTTAGTTTGTATCCCAAAGTTTACCCTGGTAGGTGCCCAACTCTTCAAAATTGACCTTTAAATTATTAGATCACTTTTTCTTCTGTGCTTTAAAACTTGAGTTGAACATAATATTCACAGTTTTCATAGTTTCATCTCAAGACTCAAGGTAAGTTTTGATTCATAGGCTGTTAGGTGATAATGGTAATATTTCAGAAGCATCTCTCCGCTTTTGAAATTATTGTCATGATAAAATCAAAGAATAATGTCTTTCTATAAACTATCCCTAGGAGCTATTGTAAGAAACAAAATTACTGTGCTAGTAATTTTAAAAGAGTAAGAAGAGTAAAAAGAGTAAGAAGTCCTATAGGACTTAAAATGCCTGATATGTAATATTGGTCCCAGTACCACCCTTTCACTAGATGTAGCATTTTGGGTGGCTTGAATAACATAAAAACTACTCCGCATCACGGCGTTTTAGGAGGTTTTTTGCTGCTTGATGCCTGGAGTTCTATGGGATCAAAGCAAGGATAGTTTCAGCCTCACTCCCAAAATAGAGGTTTCAAGCAACGCTCACATTAGAAGGAGACATATTCCTTCCTTGCTCTAGCATATACATTTCTCTCCCAATTTTACAAGTTCCTAATCTAGCACTGAAGCCCCCACCTTGTACACCTGAGGGATGGGAAGCATTATCAGGAAAGTCAGAATAACTCCACCAGCCATGGCCCACCATCCATGTGACCTTCAGCCTCACCTCTGAGATGTGTCTGGGGAAAAATCTATCATTTTTTGATCTCTTAGCCTCAAGTGACATCTTATCAGTAAATATCAATAGACCCAGGCATCAGTAGAACCTTGGCACTTATGTTGTCCCCCTTGACCTCAGGTGATGTGGCAAATACTTAGAATTACATTCATCCTACAGATAACCAGGGGCAGCAGAAACAGTCTAAAATAAAAGAGGGTAGGCTATCATAAAAGAATACAGGCTAGAGGGCTAGACCAGTACTGCTTACCAGAAGATTCAAGAAGCTCTGCGCTTAGGAGGGAACCCAGAGTATCTTCTCAATTCAGATTAAAGCTATTTTCTCAGTGTGGGAATCTGTGGGTTCTTATGAGAGCAATTTACCATGAAATTCCTTCCCGAGTGTTTCTTAATCTAATAATATACTGATCTAAAGAGCTAAGAATTGGGGGGGGGTAGGTAGATACTGAAGAATAATAAAAAAATAAATCCCCAGACTATAAACTCTACTTCTTCAGGATTGTTGGGACTTAAAGGGGACAATGAATCACACCTGTGATAGGCAGGCTTCTAAGATGAGCCCCAAGATTTCCTGCCCTCCTGGGATACATACCCTATATAATCACCAGGATCATAACTACCGTGGGTTAGGTTATATTATATGGCAGAGACAACCTTGAGAAAGAGAGATTACCTGGAAGGACTTGACCTAATCCCATGAGCCCTTTAAAAGTAGAGAGTTTTCTTTGGCTTGTCACAATAGGGGACATCAGAGATTTAAAGCATGAAAAGGACATGACTGAATATTTTGGCTTGGAGATTGAGGAGGTCACATGGCAAGGGATGTGGGTGGACTCCAGCAGCTGAGAGTGGCCCTGGCTTACAGCCAGAAGAGAAATGGGAACCTGTAACCTGTAGTCCTACAACTGTAAGGAACTGAATTCCGCCAAAGCAAGAATGAGCTTGGAAGCATATTTTCCTCTAAAGCTTCCAGGTGAGAACTCAGTTTTGTCAGCACCTTGATTTCATTCTTGTGATGTCATGGGCGGAGAGTCCAGGGACACCATGCTGGACTTCTGATTTATAGGAGTCTGAGCTCATAAGTAAGTGTTGTTTTAAGCTGCTAAATTTGTGGTAATGTGTTACACAGCAATTAAAAGACTAGTACAGTTTTTGGTATTTAGAAGTGATTTGTTGCCGTAACAAATACCTGAAAATGTGGAAGTGGCTTTGGAATTGGGAAGTGGGAAAAAGCAAGAAGAATTTTAGGAACATGATAGAAAAAAGACTAGAATGCCTTGAACTGATTTAGTAGAGGATGTTAAAGATGTGGCTGCTGGGTCTCAAAAGGAAGTGATGAACATATTCTTCAAAACTGGAGAAAGGGTCACTGTTAAGTGGTGACAGG